TATATATATTTTTTTTTCTAAATTAATATAAATTTAGTGAGTAGTTTTTATTTTTAAGGCAACCTTACCTTAGCATCCATCACTGGATCATCAAAAAATCCTTCTGGAAGAACAGCTTGATTCGTATCCTTTACTTTTTCTTTTTCTTTCTCTTTTTCTTCCTCTTCAACATGTTGTACATCCGTAGTATTAACTGTGGAATCTTTCTCTTTGCTCTTTAACTTTTGCGTTAGAACAGATGCATTGTTACCTTTCTTTGAATTATCATCAAAAAAATCTGCTGGTAAATTTGACTTGGCCTGTACCACTGGCTGGCTAGAATTTTTCAATATTCCTTTTATCTTTTTATTTGGGGAAGTATTTTGAGATGGAGATGGAGGCCTTTTGAATGTTTGAACATTAGATGTTTTTACAGTACTTTCTGTTTCTAGTTTAGTCTTTTTTGCTAACGCAACATTATCTTTGTGTATCTTGGAATTTAAGTGAACAGGCCAAATTGTTTCATTCCGTACCACTGATTTACATAAAATACACATAAGTTGTCCTGAATCTGAATATGTGTTTATTAGTGTTAAGGATAGCTTCAAGAATAATCTTAAAAATAACATCATACTAACAAATAATACAATTTATAACAATATAATATACGTATATAATAACAGTAAAATACATATATCAATATATTTCATTGAATAATGAAATCATTTCAATTATAACATGATCATATCATATTCCTCTCAAAATGCTGTAATGCAGTATTTACAATAAAGTTCTGAACATTCGATAATATATAAAATTAAGCTTAACAAAAATATTATACAATAAAAGCCACTGACAATGCAATTTTAATTAATTCTTTAATATAACGTATTAATATGATGAAGATAAAATGTACGAAACGCATGTTAACCTCAAATAGCATTATAGAATATTACAAAAAGGATATTTTGCCAACGGTGAGTCGATCTTTTTAACGATTCCGAATTTCTTCTTGTGTTCATTCATCGCTTTACGCAGATCGTCCTGCGTCAATTTTCTTTTTAAGGACATTTTCACCAATTTTCACTCGATTATATCATCACGTACTACGAAATACAACGAATGATTTGTAGGTTATGTTTTGATCGCGCCAGATCATGCTCATGTTTCATATCAATCATTGGTCATATCTGTTCGACCTGTTACACTTTTCACACTTAAGATGAGATATATATTTGGTACTGAAAAAAGAGAAAGCGAAGAGACTGAGTGTCAAAAGAATGTATTCGGAAATGTGTCGTCTGAATGTACTCAGATGTCATTTTATCCTTGTTGTCCATCTAATGTTAAACAAGAATAAAACAATATCTTGGTATACACGATTGCCTGATAATGACACGACTCTGATGAAAAAAAATTTACAACATAATATTCATAACATATTTCATAACAATTTTAAGAATTTTTATATTTTATAAATTTATAAAGAATTTTTGAAAAATATTTTAAATTTCTTTAGATTGTATAAGTTTTTTTCTGAAAAATATAAAACGAAAAATCTTGAAATATTTCAGAATTCACATGAGTATATAAAATATATTTATAAGAATTTAAAAAAATAGATTTTCTTAGTATTTTTGTGTCCTGAAAAATTCAATTTTTATAAATAAATCTGACAATGAGAAATTTTTTAAGTTATAAAATTGAAGAAAATTTACGAAATTCTGAAAAATTTGTATAAAAATTCTCTGAAAAAGTATATAAAGAATTTAAACCAATTTTTGTTCGCCAACTTAGTATACGAATAAATAAGAAAGTAATTTAATGGACAGTTTTAAAAATTATTAATAAGAATATATTAATAAATAAAATGTAATAAAATTTTTGACAAATTTTCGTGAAGTTAATTTATAGATTTCTATGTTGTAATTATTGTGTCAATTTATAGATGTCTATAAATTTATTGTAATATATATTTTGTGTATATTGTAGTGCATATTCATGGGCGTAAAGAATTTTGTTTAAAGGGCTGAGACAAATTGGAATTAAGACTTGAAACTTTTAACCTGAGGGGAAAAAGTCGTAGTAATTAAGTGAACTTGGATTTGAGTGTATGTTTCATATATTATTTTTAATCAACTACACTAAAGATAAATCACAAAATCTTATATATTTAATTTACTAATTTGTTTTATTTTTCTCTTAAAATTGTAAACTGATTCTTTGAAGCGAAAAAACTTAAATTTAACACAAACTTCAATTTACAATACTAGTCGTCTTGGATTCTAAGAAAATTTTTCTGTTCAACTCTTTGTTCTTTTGTAAAATCAATTTCTTGTAAATACTCATTAAGCATAGTTTGTAAATTTTTTGTAATTATTTTTGTTCTTTTTTAAAATTTGGAGGGGCACGACTTCCTCTGCTCTTCCTTGGCTATGCTTAGCTATATACATATGTAGCACATACATATATATATATACATATATTTGTACACATATATTATACATACATGTATTATATATTGTATATTGTAACATAAATCATTATTTGCAGCAATAACGAGAAATGACCACTAATTATGCAACAAATCGACGTCGAAATCATCGTATCAAATGAATGTCGATTCAATGAATGTTCATTCGATGAATAATTTCATATAGGAATGCGCTAACTACTAATATATGAATTATTATGACCTGCATCTTACGTGCAGTGTGCATTTTGCATAATTATTTTCTTATATAGATATACATTTATGAGTACTCCATCATGGGTATCCTCGTATCAGAGAAATAATATTTGTTTACACGAAATTCTTTTTAATTTATTTCTTAAAAATATAATTATCTTGAAAATACGTTGTAGAGCTAAATTTTATAACAGAGCTGAATTTTTGTTTTCTCTTTCTCTACAAATTTATAATATGTAAAAGATGGACTCTTGCGACCACGTTATTTGCAATTAACATCATTTTTATGTTTATTCTTTTTCAAAAATTATTTTGATAGCGCATTGCACTATTGATTCAAATGTCACAATTTAACGACTCTCGGAGTCGAAATAATATTTTTCGCAATAAATTTATTTATAGTTTTTCAACATATTAACATTTTTTTAACAAGATGCTTGATTGAACATCAAATTATTAAAATTGCTTATCAATTTAATTCGTGATATTATTTATTATAGTAGTTTAATTGCGTTTATAAGTCCGGAAAACTAATTCGGCGCAATTTTAATGATTACAAATGATATAGTATATGCAAGTATAATTCAGACTGAATTATTTAAACATTAAAGATCTAGCTTTGACCGTTACAGCCATTACTTTTATTTCGTATTGTTAAATTCACAATTTAAATATCACAATTAATAAAATTTATTCTATCTCATTATTAATAGTCATTAATCCATTAATAATTCAGAAATAAATCATTAACTAATAATTCAGAAATACGTTATTTAAATCTTTCATTAAATATTTCTCAATTCTATCTTTATTCCAAATAATCCAATTTATCGAAAATAGATTTTGTGATGTGCTGCAAATTTATTTATAAGTAGAAATATAACAAAATATGATGACATAGATTGATTACGGAAACTGAACAGAATTTGTCATTTCGTAACTATTTAAATATATTTCATTACATTTCATTATATTTCATCAATTCCGTAGTTATCAAAATACGAGTTTAATGTGGTCGTGATTGACGTCAATATTCTATTTGAATCAAAAGATAAACTGTTGGCATACTGCTAACATTTCGCTTACTGGATATTGTAATGACACGTGCGTAGAATTTGTAGTAGGTAAGATGAGATAACGTAAAAGGAGAATTCCAGTTTTCAGAGATAGCAGTTATTTCATAATAGAGAGAGATTCAGAATAGGAGGGATAGAATGAAGAGGTTCTATATATATATATTCCTTATATTTTAAATATAAATGCGAAAATTATGAATCCATAGTTCATGTCTATTCTCAGAGAGGTCTCTCATGCCAACTCTAAATGCAAATTGAAATTCTAGTCTATGATGTTTGCTTTTATACACACAGTTGCGAACATTTGAATCGCTATACACGTATATTTGAAACAAGATAATGAATAAACTGCATTTTTTGATACAATAGCTTTCAGGATTTTAGGAATGATTCAATTCGGATTGGCCATAATTGAAAGCTTACGTATACATTGCATAAGAAAAGTTACACAAATTATCGCTGTTTAATCTACCCATCGATCTCAAATGATTAAAAATTTACAATAGTCCGCGAGTTTTAGGTTGGTATTTATAATCAGTTTTTATTTTCAACACCGTTTTAAATTTTACAGGAAACGAGAATTGATTAAAATGGATCGAAATTTTTAATTCATCCAAATTTTAAATGGAAAAACTTTTTTTTTAGATTCGATTCAATTGGATTGAAAAATTGCGTTTTCTAAAATTTTGAATTAAGCAGTACCCACTTTTAAAAATTGAACTTATTTTTCGAATGAAATGCATTGAAATATTCATTCTCCTATAAATGAACAAAAAGAGATATTGGGCATCGAAATGGATTCAGATTTTCAGAAGTAATAGTTTTCAATAGTCGCATTCGCGAATATTGAAATAAAACTTTTTAAATTCATTTTAATCAATTTTAGTTTTATAGGAATATTGTAAGCCAATTACAGGTCGGAATTAGTTTTAGCATCTTCCTTAGGTCGTAAAATAAGAACGAATTATAGCATTTATAATCGACATTCATAGTCGGTTTATATTTCAAGTCTTAAATAATAATACTTTTTATGCTTATTTCTATTAATGTAGATTAATTTTAATTTCATTTTAACTTACAGTTTATCTTTTTCTAATTTTTAGAATTAGAAAAAGATAAAGAGTAAATTAAATGTAAAGAGTTAATTTTACATTTAACATTTGGAACCTGACTTTAAAATACTGATATAGCTTTATGATTGGTTTACACACTCTCTCTGTTAGAAATGTTTTTAAATTTCGTTAACTTTTAATATACATTGTTAAAAATTTCATGAAATTTAATATACTTTTAAGTTGCACAATTTGAATTTAGTTCTATGACATTATATTTAATTTATTTATAACTGAAAAATATGTTTATGTACATGTACATGAAATTTAACGTATTTTTTATGAAATTTTATGTACTTTTCATCAAATTTTATAGAATTTAATGTACATTTTACGAAATTTTATGAATACGTTCATTACATTTAAGTAACTATACTATAACTTAGTTTACAGTTAAATCATTCATTATTTTTAATTTCAATTTATGATTTCATGACCACGAGCTTCATTTACATGTAAAGGATTTTTAACAGTGATTAGATATCTTAAGACAATTTCAAATATAAATTTTAAATATAAATGAATACTTTAAATGATGGATTTTGCATGTTTTAGCATTGGTTGTGAAACAAAAGTATGTTGGAATATCGAACAAGCGTCGCTTAGCGACATTTAATGTATATTTAGATTCATATTACAAGTTGTACAATATTATGTAATGAAAGCAAGATTTGAAGTTGTTGGAAATAATTTCTCGATATCGTATACAAATATGAATGTATTTTTACGTCTCTCGTATTTACGGTACAAATATATTCAAATCTAGATGCATTCGAACATTCATATCTTGTATCTTCTTTAATTCGCTTGGCTTATAATTGCAATCGTAGTATAAATTTTTATATTAATTTTTTTCTCCAAAGAAACGAATGAAAGCGTATTAAAGGGGATATTCTTGGTGCCTAATTATTATTTTTGTGTAAATTTTTACAATTTCCAACGCTCCGCAAATTACGCTCCGATTTTTAATTTTTTATATATCAAGAATAACATATTGAAGAATAACATTGATAATAATTTTTATGCTGAATTATCTCTCATCGCCAATTAACAGTTTCCACATTTAGAACACATCGTAGACGTGCGCGCGTATTATTTAAACGTACCAGACAACATGAACAATTCCGGGTGACTAATTATCGTAACGCTCCCTCGGATGGGGTGCGTGGGAGCGTGATTGAAGTATGGAAAAAATCGCGGGGACGACAAGAATGATTATCGGATAGAGGAGAACCGGGAAGAATCGAACGTCGTTGGAACGTCGCC